AATGTTATGTTCCTGGCATAGTTCGCCTCTGATTGACTAACTGAAAGTGGCCAATACCAATCCATTTCATCTCATTAATGCCTAGGATATTGTTATTTTGCATTCCATTTCATTTGACAACTTTCAATTTTACTAGATTCATACTTTTGTACAAGGAGCTCTGGTAGCGTTGTGGTTATGAATTGGGCTGTGAGCCACAAGGTCATCAGTTCGAAACTACCAGCTGCTCCGCGGGAGAAAGATGAGGCTTTTTCTGCTCCCGTAAAGATTTACAGCCTCGGAAACCCTGTACAGAGTCGCTATGGGTCGGAACCGACTCGACGGCACTTAGCAACAACAACAATACTTTGTACATGCCATTTCAATTGTTAATGGATGTTTTCAACCCTCTCTTGTCATTTTGAGCTGAGTCTCATCAGCAAACGTATGTCCTGGAAGCTTTGCTCCATTCATATCATTTAGGTCAACTCAGGTTTGTATACTTAAACCATATTTACTTGATGTGTATGCTGAGAAAATAATCAGAGAAGCTGGACTATATGAAAAAGAACATTCAGATTGGAGGACGGCTGCTTAACAATCTAGGACATGCAGATTAAACAACCTTGCTTCCTGAAAGCAAAGAGTACATGAAGTACTTATTGCTGAAAATCAAAGACGATAGCCTTTAGTGAGGATTACAACTCTATGTAAAGAAACCAAAAATCCTCACAAACATACCAATAAACAATCTCATGGTAAACATAGACTAGATTGAAGTTTTCAAGGATTTAAGTTTACTTGGATACACAATGTTCATGCAAGAAACAGTCAAAAAATCAGACAATATATTGGGCAAATCTACCGATAAAGTCCTCTTTAACGTGTAAAAGAGCAAAGATGTCACTTTGAGGACTAAGGTGTATTTGACCTAAGTCATGGTATTTTCAATAACCTCATATGCCTGTGAAAGTTGAACAAGGAATAAGAGAGACTAAAGAAAAAATGATGCATTTAAATTATGGTGTTTCATTGAATATTGAAAGTAACATGGATTGTCAAAAGAACAAACAAATCTGTTTTGGAAGAAGTACAACCAGAATACTCCTTAGAAGCAAGATGGTGAGATTTCATCTTATATCTTTGTACATGCTCTCAGGAGTGACCAGTCTATGGAAAAGGACATCATGCTTGATAAAGTAGAGGGCCAACCAAAAAAGACAAAGAACTCCAATGAAATAGAATGATACAGTGGCAGCAACAATAGACTCAAATTTAACAAGATTGGGATGATGCTACATGACTGAACAGTGAATTGTTCTATTGTCCATGAGATCTCTGAGTCAGAACTGACTTGTTCCCACCTAACAACAGCTATAACAATCTCTACAACTATAACATAGATCAATTTTCTGTCATAAGAATATTGAAACTTCCAATATAAGAACGTGCTATATGTCTAGGTGTATTTAGGTCTTCTTTAGTAATGTTTTGCATTTGTTAATCAAAAGTTCTACCATGTCTTTGTCAAGGTTATTCCTTAATGTTTTAAGTATATTGATGATATTCTAAATGGAATAGTTCCTCCCCACACATACACACAACGGTTCATAACTAATCTGTAACTTATAGTATTCAACACACCATATTTTATTTTATACATAATCTTCCAGTTTTTGTGGGGTGAGGGCATGATTATATGTGCAGGATAATGCACTGAACCTCAAGGTCAATATGCACTGCAAGATTGTGGTTCAAATTCACCAGCGACTCTTCAGAAACCTTATATAGGGTCACTGTGTGTTGGAACTGACTCAACAGGACTTAATAACAACAGCCTAGAGAAGAAGATCATGTATGGTCATCACCATAATTTTCCAATTAAACTGATCTAAAAGTTATATTACAATGTTGTTTGAGGTAATTTTTGTCTCTCATTTTCAGTACTGTGATTAAGTTTAATTTGCATATTAATTCCATTGACTATTTTAGTTACTTTTAGAAAGCTAATTTCAATAAATTTATAATAATAATGTATGCCTGAGCATCACCTTCAAGTAAGACCATTCACATGTCTCATATATTTATTTAGAATGATTTGGGTAATTGGTGAATCCTGAGCTTTTATTTTATTTTATTTTGATAAGGATGGTGACTTTAAAACACAGATGATACCAAGTACCCTTTGGCTATCTCATTTGTACTAAAAGCTGCAAATAATATCTTGGCAACCAGTAAGAGCACAACAACAAAATTATCTTTCCTACAGGATTTATTTCCCCTATGTGCATACTCGCTAACTGTATGCTGGTGAATACAGGTATTAATTGCTTCTTTGCCCTAGTGACCTTAGCCAAGTAAACATACTATATATACCTTTAGTGATTTCCTTGCTCATTAATTTATTAAAAGAAAAAACCAAAAATCAGACTCCACTCTTTTTAGGAGCATAGGCATTTGTTCTTTCCTGGTGTCTGCTTTTCAATCTCCAATAAAAGACATAGACTGCTCTGTCACTAATGCCCATATTTTCTCTGCATGTGCATGTCTATAAATCTCATGGGGAGAAAACTAATCACTTAATAATTAATTATTAAATAATCAATGAAAACATTGATAAGATTAGTGAGAGATGAATACAATTTTGATTTAGTGTTTTTATAGACTCATATTTCACATCTTTAAATTGATTAAATCAAATTTTGTACAGTGATCCAAAATTGCCATAAGGAAGAAATATTATCTTGAAAAAAGTGTTATTTGTACATAATCATAACATTATAAGTAATTCTCTACTCTTTTAAGAGATGTAGGCATGCTATTTTATAGAAAAATAATCATAATTAAATTACATTTTCAGGAATGGTAAATTAATTTCTTAAAAATGTTATTGAGAAACTTTTCAAAGGCCAATGTTCATTAATTAGCATAACTTATTTTAGAGTGGCCTAACGTGCTTTCATTTTCTCTTTATTCTACATTGTAGTGTTTTCTAAGAAATTATTTTTTGTCAATGAGAAACTGAGAAATGGAACCTTCTGGCAAAGCTACATCTGTGACATAATATCTATGAGTTCCTTGCCTTGGTTCAGAAGAAAAAAATAAGGTAAATTGATTTCATGATATATAGTTTACCATGGTGTACTCAATAGTAAGAACAATAGAATGACACCAGTTTTACATTCATGTTTTATTTTTGGAATTAACTAAGTGTAGACAAAATGTGAGACTGGAGATAAAATATGAACTGTGTGTATATGTTTGTGTGACTTTGAACTGTCATATTAAAGATGATAATAGATATTTTTATGCAGATGAGATTAACACAATAGAACTTACAAAAAAAAAAAAGGATATCAGAAGGGTGAGAACTGGAAGGCATTCGTGTTTAAGTAAATAAAAAAATAAATAGGGATAGTGAATTGAGTTTTGGAAAATGTAAGTAAGCAATCATCCCATATTTCAATACATTTTCTTTTTTATATTCAGAACTTGGTTGAGGAGTCTTGTAAATTAACTGATTGCTCCTTCTTTCAAGATGCTTACAATATACATGGCAAAGTTAACAGGAATATTTTAAATATTGAATATGGAAGTTATTGTATGATAAACATACTACACAGAAGCTCACAGAGAAAGGCATGTATGAAAACCACTTTTACCTAAATCTTTATGAACTTAGATGATACTACAGGTTGTAACTTTGAGAAGGTTTGCATTTCAAAGTGACACATTGATTAGGATATGAATTAGAATTGTGTATTATTGAAATGTGTTACATTTCAATGAATTATATTCCATGTATTTGATTCAAAAGATTTGAATCAAAGTGATGAGAGTGAGACAGGGCTAGTTAACAAAGTTATTGTTATTATGTGCTGTTGAATTGGTTCCAACTCATAGCAATCCTGTATGATAGGAGAGGTAAAAGGTGAGGTTGAATATGAAGCTGAATTTTCAATCAAGATCCATGAACAACAGGAGGCTTTACTATCTATGATCTATCTATCTATCTATCATCTATATTTATTGTGATGGGAACCCATCACTACAGGTTGTGGCCTCACAGAATATATTAGCAGTGTCAAAACATGTGCAACATATAGAGATGTAGACATGATGTTATCAGAAAGTAGTTGATTGATGACATGTAACATGAAAAATTGAGCATTCTTGCCAGAAAAAAAACAGAAAATAAGTATCAAAAACTGAAAATGACCCCAAGGGAGAGGAAGATGAAGACTGAAATTTGATATGCCAAAGATAAAAGTTGTTATAGTTGATGATGAGTAAAAGTGCTTAGAATTTCATAATGGATAATTTAAAGAACAAATGTGTGGTGACTAACATAGTTCATTGGTTAGAGTAATGAGGCAAAATGTAAATAATACAAGTTCATTTGATTTACCATCCAGAGGTGTTTGCAAGCTTTATGAGTTTCAGGACACCAAGAGGAAAGACAATATACTTAGGATATTGAGTAGAATAAAAACATAAAATAAACTGTAGGCAAAATGTATTGATGGAATAATGCACTAATTAGGGACTACGTCCAACAGTAAAATCAGAAATTTCACCCTTTTGATTACATGTACACAGTGAAACCATGTAACTTTTCAGTCTCATTTGGAATGGGAGCCCAAGAAGTACAGAGAAGAGTGAGGGCAAATGAAGTCTACGAGCATTGTTAATTTTCAAATAAGAAAGATGTTTGGAAGAAATGGATGAGAAGTGGTGATTATACATATTGTTGATGTATATAAAATAAATGAAAGAGAAAAATAGTAGGGAAGGCAGTATCTTGATAATATAGGATGTGAATATAAGAACAGGATGAAAGTTAAAGTTTTGTAATATTTATTTACAGCTCAAGGATTAAAAAAAAAAGAAACTCAGGAATATGTTCTCATTGCCTCTTCAGTGGACATCCAAGAAAGATGTTGGAACTATAGATTTCTATTTACATCAAATATCTACTTAGGAAACATGTTTATCTCTTGGTAACAAGGCAATAAAAGGTAATGGTAAACTCAAACATCAGCTTTTTCAATGGATTTGTCCTGTTGGGCTTCTCTGGTCATCCTTTGCTAGAGATGATCCTCTTTGTTATCATTGTGATTTTCTACTTGCTGACTTTACTTGGCAATATGGCCATCATTATTTTAGCTTCTCTGGATTCCAGACTCCACACTCCTATGTACTTCTTCCTTAGTCATTTGTCTTTCATGGACCTCTGCTACACCACAAGTACAGTTCCCCAGCTGTTGTTCAATTTGAAGGGCCCAGTGAAGAAGATCACTTATGTTGGTTGTGTTGGTCAACTCTATGTGGCCTTGGCAATGGGCTCCACAGAATGCATCCTCCTTGCAGTTATGGCTATTGACCGCTATGCTGCTATATGCAAGCCTCTGCACTATGCCATTATCATGCATCCACGCTTCTGTTTGCAATTAGCAGCCATGACCTGGCTGACTGGTTTGACTAATTCTTTAGTGCAAACTGTGCTCATCACTCAGGTTCCCCTGTGTGGACAGAATATCATAGACCATGTATTCTGTGAAGTGCCAGTTCTCCTCAAACTGTCCTGTGTAGATACCACCGCCAATCAGATGGAGCTCTTCCTGGTCAGTGCATTTTTACTCCTGGTGCCCCTGTCTCTCATTCTTATTTCCTATGGCTTCATTGCACATGCTGTGTGGAAGATCAGTGCATCTGAAGGACGCCAGAAAGCTCTGGGGACTTGCACTTCCCACTTGGTGGTGGTGTTCCTTTTCTACGGCACTGCTACTGCCATGTATCTGAAACCCACTCCTACCACTTCCCAGAACCAGGACAAGTTCATGGCTTTATTCTATGGTGTTGTCACTCCAACTCTAAATCCTTTCATCTACACACTACGAAATAAAGATATGAAAGGTGCACTGAGGAAGATGAAGGGAAAGAGTAAAGAAAAAGGCTAATAGAGAAGGGCTTAATGAAGGAGGGTACATTATAAGATATTTTAAATTCTGAAAAATGGTAATGTCTCTCTCTTTTTTTTTTTTTCTAAATAGCCTAAGAAGGGACTTCAAAAAGTTCACAGGAGAGCTTTTAAATCTTTTAAATGAACTTTTTGAAGTACTATGTGTATGTATATACATATATCCATATATATATATATACATTGTAAGGAGCTCTGGTAGCATAGTGGTTAGGAATCAGGCAGTGAGCCTCAGGGTCAGCAGTTCGAAACTACCAGAGGTTCTGTGGGGGAAAGAAGGCTTTCTGCTCCCGTAAAGATTTACAGACTTGGAAACCCTGTACAGGGTTGCTATGAGTCGGAACTGACTCCACGGCATATAACAACAACAACAATATTTACATTGTATAAAGTAAAATTTAAGAAGGTTTATGTGTATGTATATTTGTTGTTGTTAAGTGCCATTGAGTTGGTTTAGCCTCATAATTACCCTGTGTGGGGTTTCTGAGTGACTGGTAAATTCAAACTTTTGACTTTCTTTGTGGTTCAAACTGACCTGTGGTCCTACAGCACTACACCAGGACTCTATATATCAATATATATATATATGTTGTTAAGGAGCTCTGGTAGCATAGTGGTCACGAATCGGGCTGTGAACCTCAAGGTCAGCAGTTCGAAACTACCAAATGTTCCGTGGGAGAAAGATGAGGCTTTCTGTTCCCATAAAGATTTACAGCCTCAGAAACCCTGTACAGGCTCACTATGAGTTGGAACCAACTCCACAGCACATAATAACATATGTTGTTAGGTGCTACTAAGTCAGTCCCAAAGAACAACAGAATGAAGCATTGCTTGGTCTGCACCATTCTCACAATTGTTGTTATGTTTGAGCCCATTTTTGCACCCACTGTATCAATCTATTTCATTGGGCATCTTTCTTTTATTCACTGATCCTCTACTTTATCAAGCATGATATTTTTTTCCAGGAACTGGTTCCTCCTCACAACTGTCATTGTTATGTCAAATCTACAAGGACAAGAAAAATGAGATAAGCTAAAGATACTATCTTGGCTCTGCCTCTAGCCATTTATATGGTTGTGGGTGACTCATTTATTTTCTCTCATCATCACTACCAATATATTCTATAGATGTGCTTATCATCTTATCATATTTGAGAGGCTATTAGAAAGTGCTATGTACTCATCAAAAATAAAATTTAAGACGGTCATGTACAATTGATTTTCTTTCTTAATATGGGGGAGAGGGGTAACATGGGGACTCCATGGCACAGCAGTGCGAATCACAAGATCACGTTCAAGCCTACAAGCTGTTCCACAGGAGAAATATGAGGCTTTCTGCTCCTGCAAAGATTTAAAGCCTCAGAAATACTATATAGGAACATTTTGAGTCTTAAAAGACTCAAAGACACTTACCACCACTACCAAAAACTACAACCCACCCCCAAAGAATTCTATGTGTCAAAATGGCAAAATGTGTTTAAACATGTCTGAGTCATCAGTGGTGACTGTAGTCAATTTTTCTCAGTAATAAGTTTCATTAGGATACCTCCAATAAAATTGGCATCATCAAATAATTTATATTGTGTTCCTCTTATATGTTTTTTTAGTTTGGGGAACAAAAAGAAGTCTGAAGTCACACTGTCATGAATATAAGGTGGATAGGGTAAAGGTTACTAACAAAAATCTCATAGGATAACCCTTGCTACACTGGAAAAATGAGCAGGTATATTGTTGCGGTGTGAGGAGGAGGGGGGTGTTCCTCTGCACAACCTTTTTTTTCACCAATATAATTTTTAATTTTAAGTTTCTTAAAACTTTTTCATAATAAACTCCTGTGATTGTCATGTGTCTTTTGAGAAAATTTATCAAGATTACTCCGTAGAATTCTAACAATTAGTTGTCATAACCAGTGAGTTGAACTATGTGTCTTAAATTTAACTGGCCCAGCAGATTGTTGTGGAAGTCAATGTTTTGATTAGACTTTTTTATTTTGAAACTAAGACAGTGTATTACTGAGCAAACTTTTCTGCAGCCACCCACTGATGGCTTGCTGTTGTTGCTGTTGTTAGATGCCATCAAGTTGATACCTACTCATAGTGAACTTATGCACAGAGGAACGAAACACTGCCCAATCCTATGCCAACCTCACTACTGTTGCCACGCTGAGTCCATTGATGCTGCTGCCACTTGGTTTATCCATCTCCTTGAGGGTCTTCCTCTTTTTTGCTGACCCTCCACTTTACCAAACATGATATCCTTTTCCAGCGACTACTCACTCCTGACAATATGTCTGAAGTATGAGAAATGAAGTTTGGCCATATTGGCCTCCAAGGAGCACTCTAGCTTCACTTCTTCCAAATGGTTCTTTTGGCAACCCATGGCACTTTTAATATTCTTCTCCAACACCATAACTCAAAGGCATCAATTCTTTTATGGTCTTCCTTATTCACTGTCCAGCTTTCCCATGCATATGAGGCTATGAAAAATACCATGGCTTGGGTCAAGTGC